CACACAGAACTAATCTAGTGGGAAAGAGACATTGATTCTTCCTTTGTATTTGAATCTAAGTCTTGAAACTAGTGAGAGAACGCGCTGTCATGAAAGATACAGAAAACACACAGGACTCTGAACCACTGTTAGTTTTGCTCCTTATCAGCCTGTGACTTAATTTTTCTGTTCAATCATCTTTGGAATGAGAATGGTAATGGCTACCGCCTACAACCCTTTTAGAATAGACTTAGACGGCAAGCAAGAAAACGCACTGTTTAAGAGCACACGCACGGCCTCCAGCTGAATTACAGTTCAAATCCTGGCCCTGCCACTTTCCTTGATGTACGATCTGAGTATGAATGTAGAGTATTTACCAGAGTGTCTGATGCAGAATAAATGTTAATTAATTAGCCCCTGTCATTTCTCCTTTAAAAATTGTGAAGTATCCCACCAGTATTCATTTCTGTTACCCCAAGATGCATGCAATGTAGAATGGCCAATAACAGAACGTTCATCCAATGCTTTCTCAGGATTTAGTATCACATCCTTCCTTATCCACAAAGCCGGCTGCCCTCCCCAGACAGAATGCTCCCTTCTGCAACATACTTATGTGAGAAAAGGCCAGCCACACAATTCCCTTCAGTTTTAAAGACTCAGCTGGCTCTATGAATTAATAACCTCACTAAAGGTTATCTACCAGCAAGAAGGGTGGGGAAAAAAGTCCTAATTGCTCTAGTTGGAGATGTCATTAGTTTGTTGTACCTGACTCCTATCAAGTCTGCATGGCATTTATAGAAAGGGCAGATACCAAGGGAAAATATTACCAAAGAGGACAAGCGTTGAACCTAAATACTAAATAGCTCCCTGCCGTCAACTAATCCATTTCTAAGGTAATCTATCTACAGAAAAACCTTTCTGATTCTACGGTCCTGATACTCGATTTGCTCAAGCTATAAAATTTTTATTTAGATCCCAGGGCCATTTCGATAAATCAAAATTGCCTTTTCTCCCCCTGCTGTTAGATAGTAAAATCCTGTAGAACAGGTCTTAGACTAAGTGATCTAACCTAATTTAATTTGTCAGGAGCAAGCACCACTGATTTTTTTTTTCTTAACCCTCCAATTGCAAGTCTAGGGCCTTCTTTCTAAATGGGGACACTGCCATCAGAATCCTGAGTTCCATTATTAGTTAGTTAGTTTAATCTTAGGGAAACCTCTAAAAGAGCAAACCATATTATTTTCTCTTCCGGAATTTAATACAACTGCTACATACCTACTCTGAAGAGTGTGACACAGTTCAATTTCTCATGTTTACAAACACTAGCAGATAGCAATATGTGAGCAAAATGCATGGCGTAGCTTTTTAAAATAGAGCACCTGGGGTTTGTCATAAAAATGTGCTATGCTGTGTTTAGACAGACATAAATAAAAACTGCATGGTGTGGCTTTATCGCTCCTGAAGTGCATACCAACGTTTGAAAATGCCTACCGTATTTCATGTTAAAACATTTTCTAGTACCTACAAAATATTTATCTCAAATGACTAGAAGAGTTTTACAGGAAATGCCCGGTTTAGATCATTTATCACGAGAACAAGCTATGTAGAAGCATCAAGGATAAATATACCTTTCACGTGTATTGGGAATCCAGCCTTTCTTTGAGGACTCATCCAATTCTCTTTGTTCAATGTAATTTTAGGGAGAACAAGGGGCAAGAACATTGTAATATGGTAATGGTATTGGCAAAACAAGGGTTTATTTGAGAGTTTTTACAGGGCCATCATAAGTATTATAGAATCACAAGATAAAAGGGTACATGCTTTGAAAAGTACTAAAGTTACCACAGAAATTCTTCCAGCATAGAGACAGGGTATGAACATTATTATTATTTCTAAGCGAGAAATGCTATAATTTGGATAGGTCTTCATACACAAATAATCTAAATGTCAGAAGTAAATGACCATGGAGCCCTCCCTTGTGGGCCAAAGCAGTCAGACCACTATCTCTAAAGTTCCATTTAATATGAATAATAATAATACCACTCTAAAGCACAGTTACCTCATCATTTATGTTTTAGCTGCTTGGCTCAAAATGTTTATCTAAAATAAAAGTATACTATAAGAAAATTAGCTTAGGGGCAGCTGGGGTGGCTCAGTGGGTTAAGCGTCTGACTTCGGCTCAGGTCATGATCTCACGATTCATGGGTTCATGCTCCGCGTCACGTTCTGTGCTGACAGCTCAGAGCCTGGAGCCTGCTTCGGATTCTGTGTCTCCCTCTCTCTCTGCCCCTCCCTGTTCATACTCTGTCTCTCTCAAAAATAAACATAGAAAAGAAAAGAAAAGAGAAGAAAATTAGCTTAAAGCTTGGTTTGTTGTGAGCTGAAATTTTTTTCCCCCAAATTCCAATGCCTAAATGGTTAAAAATAACAGCATCGAGCAAAGGCCCTTATACTTTTAAGCATTTTGGAAATCTAATTATAAAGAACGGCAGGTCTGATTATGGCCTTCTTTTTTCTGACAATGCCTTATTTCTTCCCAGACATTAACAACGAGTACCAACGGCCTATTATGGTGTCATTAGAAAGTCGATGAAGATGGATTTTCCAGCATTTCCAGGAGAGTTAACATGTGTCAACTCCTGTCCCCAGCAAGGCTAGCAGAAGGCACTGCTGGGCTGCAGGTAGGGAGCGAGCGTAAGTTTTCAAAACAGGTGTTAATGTTGACACAACCATCAGACATTCTGCTTCTCCAAGGCTTTAAGAAGAATACGTACTTTTAATTTTTAAGACAAATTTGTGGATTCCATAAAAAGGTGTATTCCTGGGAGAATATCCAGAATAATGGGAAATCTGTGAGACAGGTCTCTCAGCATGATACCACAGTTCACCCTCCAGTATATGGAGACTAAGAATAGGACGACTCAACAGACTGGACTTGGACGCCACAAAAGTGATTAAGTAACACGGCAGCTGGCCTGGCCTCTCAGTGGCAGCACGGAGGAAGTGGAAAAGTAAAATGAGCCTAGAAGTGGTTGCTTTTCAGTTCCTATGACTCCAGAGCTGCCGCACGTGTGTCAGAGGACAAGGCAAAACTGTACATTTTACAGAATCAAAGAGAGTTAAAGACGATTAAGATCTTAAGGATCAGTTAGCTCAGAGATTTTCAACGTTTCGGTGTTTAAGGGTATTTCTAGATTAGAGCTCCTGGGTGGCTCAGCGGGGTGAGCGTCCGACTCTTGATTTCGGCTCAGGTCACGATCTCACGGTTCGTGAGTTCGAGCCCTGTGTTGGGCTGTGCTCTGATAGTGCAGAGCCTGCTTGGGATCCTCTCTCTCCCTTTCTCTGCCCCTCCCCTGCCTGCACACACATGTTCTCTCTCAAAATAAATAAACTTTAACAACAAAAAAAAAGAATATTCCTAGATGCACCCACTGAGATTATGACTCAGCCGCAGCAGGCAGGAAGTAGTGGGAATATGTAACACTTCTAAAGCACCTGCTTTATGCCAGATACTGTGCTAAGTTCTTTACAAATATCACTTATTTAATTCTTGCAACAATCCTACTGGGTAGATACTATTATATCCTCCATTTTAGATATGAGGAGACGAAGGCACAGAGTGATGAAGGAATCTGCCTGAGGATGCCCCAATAGAAAGTGAATAAGTGTTAAGTATTCAAACCCAGACAGGCTAGCTTCAGAGTCTCAGCTCTTTGTCACTCCACTAAATCACCCATGGACTACGGGCTATGGTGAGGCCCAAGGCATTAACAAAATGTCATCACTGAAATCATCTTCTTTTCTTTTCTGAATGGAGAAACTCACACCCAGAAGAGTGAAATCTCTTATCTAAGACAAAAATCCTTCAGTGCATTTTCGGGGAGAAATCAACCATTATACAACACCCAACTGTTCTTAAATATTTCTCTATGCTTATTCCTCTAGGGGGGAAATGAACAGATGGCATTATTAAAAGCCAGCCCAGGGGTTTCAGCTGTGATTTTCTGACCAAGGTGGTGTTCTGGACACAGACTTCCATCCTCTTCTGCCCAACTCACCGTTCATTCACAGGAAATGACACGTTCCAGAGTCAGCATTAAGGGCTCCAGATCATGGTGATTCTCAAGGGAGGGAAAAAGGCGAGGGGAAGGAGAGATACCATCCCCCAAAATGGTAAGTGAAGATACGGTTCATGTAATTTGAGGATGGAAAAGAAAGATGTGATTGTGATATGGTTCCTAAGGATGGTGTTCCTGTCCCTAAAGTGTCTATTCCAAAGCCTTAGTATGTGGGAAAACATCATTAGGTCCTCGCTGTGTTTTAACATAAACAGGCAGCTGAATACCAGAATGATCAGGTCTACCCTAAGCTGGACCAACTCACATACATTCTCGCAAAAAGTGATAAACACATCACCTAACAACATTAGACACGCAGGATCAGGCCCCAAATCATACATGTCACTGAAAAGTTACCTTTTTACTCAGTTGTCATTTCTGTTCAGCAATCCAGGTAATTCTGGGGGACCATAAGCAAGGATAACCATGCATTCCAGATGAAGGGGGTGCCAGCATGACCACAGCGCAGAGGCACTTTCAAGGTAACAATGGGGGGGTGGTGGAGGGGTTAGCTCGTTCCTGTTCTAATGACGTCAAACCAACCTTCATCACTTCCACCTGCAGGTCTTCATGGAGGGAAGGCGTCACTTTCACGGCATTCAGGATCTGATTGAGCAGCTGCTTCTCATCAGAATCTGTTTCCATGGATACAAACCTCTCTTCTGACAGAAGCTTCTGTAAAGAGGCACAAGGCAGTGATCACAGATAGGCTTCCCCCCCTGCTGCCTCATTCTGTTGTATCTTAGTATGTACTGAGGGTAATTGTACTCGGGAGCCACGTAGGTGGAGGCCGGTAGGGCAGAACTCATGCCATGTGCCAGTGAAAAAGAGAAATGCATCGAACCCTTGGTCAACAGTTTGGGCAAAGACCTTTTGCTGCTATTAGGTAAGTCATTCTAAATAACACAGCAACCATTCAGGTCACGTGGTTGGTGGGGGCGGAGGATGAATGTGCCTGGCGGGGATCCGGCACCTTACAAAGGTCACATTCACGCACACCCTTTCTGAATGTGGCTTTGTCACAGGAAAGGAGAAGGTCTTGTGGTCGACAAGTTCACTTTTCAGAAAAAGTTTACCTTTTTACTTTACCAAAGAAGCGCTCACGAATTCACACATCTTCATGCATTTTCAGCAGAAAACGAATCCCACAAAAACCGAACGAGAGAACATTCACTTTCACGAGGTCAGGAAATGTTACACCTCACAGCTCTTTTGTATTTGGGGACAACTCTTATTTTCTAGAAAATTCTATCTTCAATTGTACCACAACCCACCTCCCGACAACTTCTAAATCCTTCATCTTTCGCCGGAGCCACAAGGGCTAAGCTAAAATATCTGAAGTCAGCTATGAAGTCCACTTCAGTCTTTTCTTCTCTATACGAGACCTCCTGAGGCATCTTTAAATGTTCTTGGTGTGATACGGTTTCATAAATACTCTCCTGCTTGAGAGTATGCGGCCTCCAGAGTGAATGTCACACATTAAGGGTGGTCCGACATTAAAGAATAATGCAACCAAGAGTGCCCCCTAAGGTCAACTGTGAACTTTGCGTGATTGTGTGTCACTGTAAGTGGATCGTTGGCCAAAGTGTACCATTTGGGGCCCCTGGGTGGCTCAGTCTGTTAAGCATCTGACTCTTGTTGGCTCATATCGGCTCAAGTCATGATTACATGGTCATGGGATGGAGCCCCATGTTGGGCTCCGCACCGAATGTGGAGCCTCCTTGGGATTCTCTCTCTCTCTCTCTCTCTCTGCCCGCCCCCCCCACTTGTGCTTTTTCTCTCTCTCTCTCAAAATAAATAAATAAACTTAAAAAAAAATGTACCATTCTGGTGAGTGATGCTGTTCATGGAGGAGGTTATGAACGGGTAGGGTAGGCAGTATATGGGAAAGCTCTGCACTTCTTATCAATGTCACTGTAAATCTGACATTGCTCTTAAAAAAAGGAAAAAAAGTCTTAAAAATGTTTAAGATGGCAGAAGGGAAAGGCACAAAGAAATGGGGTCTTCGGTGGCACCACTGAGCTGTTGAATCAGACCTAGAACTGACCACCACCAGAATTCTCATTATGTGAGATGACTAAATGGGTTTATTGCCTAAAACCAAAAACTGAAAAATAGCAATGTAGAATTTTAATTATAGTCTCGGATCAAATGAGCTTAGCTGCAAGTCACGGTACATTCTATGCTGACTTGCCCTGAAATCCTTAATTCTCATTCACCAGGGCTTCAGTTAAGCTATTCTTCCCATTCTGTCCTGAGGCAGTCCATTTTTGAGACGCTGGTGAAAGATTCTGTATTTATCCCTTTTAAATTTGTCCTCGTCCCGTTCAGGGTAGAGCCGCAGCGGGGAAGAACTTTTGGAATTCCGATTCACCTTGGGTAAGGACTCCCTCTTGTAGCAGAATGTCACTGCAGATCCAGAACACAAGCATTTCGAACCTTCTTAGGACTGCCTGACCTTCTGGCCATATCCTTTCAAAAGAGGTTTTTTCACTACCACACAGTGCATGCCAGGTACCCCAGAGTTAAAGTTGACATTCAAACCTGTTTTTACTTCAAGTGATAAAGACTGCAAAGGCCTACAAAAGTGCCTACACTTGACAGTAGGTGACAGACAGTGGTAAGAGTACCCAGTGCCCACTCATTAGAATTAACAGATAAAGCAAGACCTTAAGAACATGGTTCTGTAAGCTTAGAGTGTCTGGGGGTTAAGAAATAACTACATGGGAAATCCATACAATATTAGAGAAAAGGAAACACACAGGTTAACACAAACGCTCATTCATATTCATGGCTGGCCCAAGGAGAAAACAAGGAGTATTTAATAACATTGACAGTGTTTAACAATGTTTAATACTGGGGCGCCTGGGTGGCTCGGTCGATTGAGTGGGCAACTCTTGATTTCAGCTCAGGTCATGATCCCGAGGTCATGGGATTGAGCCCTGAGGTGGGATCCTCACTGAGCATGGAGCCTGCTTGGGATATTCTCTCTCTCTCTCTCTCTCTCTCCCCCTCCCTCCCTCCCTCCCTCCGCCCCTCTCCACATACATGCATGCTCTCTTTCTCTCTCTCTCAAAAAAAAAAAAAAAAATCTAATATTAACATGTACATTATCTAATTCCAATCCACTGGAAAAAGAAGAGTCTTAGTTTTCTCATTCATATGTATTGACTTTTTTTTTTAATGTTTACTTATTTATTTGACAGAGGAAGAGACAGCGAGACGGGGAGAGAGAATGCCAAGCAGGCTCTGTGCTCTCAGCCCAGCGCCAGACGCTGGGCTTCAACTCACGAACCGTGAGATCATGATCTGAACCTAAATCAAGAGTAGGACACTTAACCAACTGAACCACCCAGGCGCCCCATCAGAGGTATTAACTCTTAAGAAGCATTAGGGCCTTCTCTGGACTTAAAGGATGAAATAATACATACTAATGTGAAAAGACATCTGACAAATGCTACCCATCCATGGCCACACTGCATAAACCCCATAGGCTTGAACTACACAGAGCTTTGTCACTTAGAAACCAAACTGCTTCAATGCATTTATATAGCCATGACCTTTGCACTGTTCGAATTAGACCTATTACATATGGTGTAAAATATACAGGAGCAAATGCTCAGAGAAGGAAAGTGTTCAAGCAATCTGACTTTTATTGTCTTCTTCTTTTTTTTTTTTTTTGTTTTCATTTTAGAGAGAGAGAGAGCATGTGAGCAGGGGAGAGGGGCACAGGAAAAGAGAGAGAGAATCCCAAGCAGGCTCCACATCTAGCATGGAGCCCAGTGTGGGGTTTGATCCCATGACCCAGGCATCATGACGTGAGCTGAATCAAGAGTCAGACTCTCAATGGACTGAGCCACCCAGGCACCCCTGGCTTTTCTGATTAGACCAAATTTCTTTTTGGCCCTCCAAGTTTGCTCTGGAAACAAAACACATGAGTTCATTCACTAACCTAACTGTAAAATGGAAAACAAGATAAAATCTTTCCAGTTTACTATTAATTCTCCTTACGCAGAACCACAGATGTTGAATTTATATAAGATTTTACTTGGTATAGAACTTGAGATGTTTCTCGGGGGATCAAGAGATCCTGGGCCCTCCTAAAGCTGGCCATCCTCCAAAACATTTCATTTCTATGCGAGCCTAGCTGGGTCCCCAGGAATCAGTATCAGATGACAAAGGCTCAACAAGATAATGCGATCCACAGAGAAACGCTGGTAAATGTAAGAAAATCCTCTGTCTTCTGTGGTTATTACCTAGTTCAATCAAATTGTGGTCTGGGTCTTTGACGGCTAGTATTCAAAATGTTAAGTATTTGTTCTTTCAACGCCAAAGTAGCCTGTCAATTTCTGTCATCTGACTGCACCCAGTGAGAGCCTTACCTGTATTCCTGCCAAGGCATGTTGGGCCAGTTTCACATTCTTGGATTCCAAAGCCAACTGGAGAGGTAGCAAGCATTTCTCCCTGGCAAACACATAAATAAGGACAACAAAACACATGAGCTCAGCAAAGCTGGCAGTCAAATGATTGAAGCCTTATGTACACCCACTCCCAAATGCTGTGACACACATACATAAAAACTATAACCAACGATAAAAATGCACAGGGACCTAAAAAAGCCACAGCTAAAGAAATATGAACAGAAATGATAGCATATCAGCACTTGCCTTGGCTACAGGAAGAGCCAACACAAGGACTCTCAAACAATTGTTTTGACGCACAAATTATTACATGGTGGGATTCTTACCAGTCCACGAACATGCCTTGCTCTTTTCTAAATATACTTGCTTATACCCGATACATCTGGGGTGAACAAGTCTGGAAAGCACCATTAGAATAGATTTCTATGCCTTGCTCATGCCTCTCTCTTACCTACAAAGAGAATGCATCACCACCACTAGTCTGTCTCATCAATATAAGCTGAAAGTCTATTTTGTCAGTTTCTCTCCCATTCAAAATGTTCCACAATCATTTATAATTTGTAAATTTGCTTTTTAGCCTCCATCAGGCAGATCTGAATTCTGTGATGGGTACCTAATAAACATGTTTCCAAGACAGAACGATAAACAAAATAGCAACAGCTTTGACCAATGAGAAGTACCTAGTGCCATGGGAGAGATGAAAAAGACCTATGTGGAGAGGTACTTGGGGTATTTTTAAAATATTTATTTATTTATTTTGAGACAGAGTTAGCAAGCAGGGGAGAGGCAGAGAGAGAGAGAGAGAGAGAGAGACAGAGACAGAGAATCTCAAGCAGGTCAGCACAGAGCCTGATGTGGGGTTTGAACTCATGACTTGAGCCAAAATCCAGAGTCAGACACTTAACCAACTGAGCCACCCAAGTGCCCTGGATATTTTAAAGCTTAAAAACAAATAAATGGGGACTAAAATACGTTAGGAATAAACCAAAAGGGCTACCAAAAAAAAAAATCTTTCTGTTAGAACATTCACTCTAAATAATTAAACAACAGTCCAAGAATTTTAATCAACCTGTTATTTCCCCATGGAGCTATACTGGCATAACCAATGAAATGTTCCTTAATTTTACCAGGTTCCTCCACCCCCACTTTAACTGCAGCAATATCATTTTTATCTATTCAGCATAAACCGAAAGATTGATTGACTTTAGGGAGTATAAAAGCTATAGGGTAAGACTATAAGATTTCATCTTTGGAGAAATAAGGATCACTGTTGTAGAACCCAATGAAACACAAAGTTAATTATAGCTTTGATTCCTTCCTATCTGTCCGGCAGCTCTACTGCTTTTCTATGGAACCTTCCATCAGCAGAACAAAGACAGACTCCACCAGAAAGAACATCCACCTTCCCAATCCTTCTCACCTCTCCCCTTACCAACCCAATGCTGCAATAGCCTCTTTTACATGACAATCGATGAACTCTACAACCATTTTTCATTAGACACATCCTGTGACAGATGGGTAAGTTACCCAACTGTGTTACTTCCAGCGGGGTGGCTGGAATTTTGTCACCGTACTGTTATTACCAGCTTCACTACCATTACAAGACACACGCGTCTGCACCCTCAGTTAAAGCAGGAGTAGTTGATTTTTCCAAATTCGTTTTTTCTTTTGTTTAATCATAACCAGTTTATAAGCTGGAAAAATTAACCGGAAGGGTGAAAGTTGAGAAGTAGGAATGAGAGGCAGATGGAGTATGAGCCAGAATAACCACAGAATTTCACCTATAAACCCTTGAAACAATCAAATTTCCATCAGGATTCATTAACCGTGAAAGAACTTTCACATTCAGAGTGAGATCTGCCAGTGAAGGCGCAGGACCAATGAGCGAGCACGAAGGCCCGTAACTCTTACAGCCTCGCAGCTTGGGGAAGGGCAAGTCTCTGTCAAGTGGCCGTGTGCTGAAAATCCGCAAGTATCACACATTACTCACTAAGGGCAGCAAACAAGAGTGGAGACCACATTCAGCAAATAGGGCACACCTGGAAATGCCGAACCTTCTGACCTTGGGAAGCAGCGTTATGTTTGCATACAAACAGTTGCAGACTCTGTTGTAGGTAATTGATGAATCATGGGAATCTACCCCCCAGACCAAGAGCACATTGCATACACTGTATGTTAGCCAACTTGACAATAAGTTATATTAAAACAACAACAACAACAAGAAACAAAACACTGCAGACTCCTATTGCTTTGCCACCTTCAGAAATAGTCCGTGAAATCCACATTCCACCTTCTCATCTAGATATACATTCACACGATTTATCTTCAGACCTCAGCCAGGTTACGAACAAGTGTGAGGGCCACCAGGTTGTACCCCGATTCTAGAGGACATCACTGATTGGCTTGCTCCCTGTGCTAGTCTTCTTGGTCACCAGACAGGACTGAAAGATGTTAAGTGGTTCCGCTAGGCTTTGGCTGACTTGAAAGGTATCAGAATTTGGTGGAAAGAACATGGGCTATGGAATCACACAGAGCCAGATTCAAACCCTAACTATAAGCTGTAGAATCCCAATCAAGATACTTAACTTTGTTGGATATTAGCTTCTCATTACATAGGAAGGGCAACTGAAGACCAACCCAGCAGGACTGCAGTAAGGAGAACAAATATTACATATCAGGGGCTGGCAAATTTCGTCTGTAGATAATAAATATTTTAGGCTTTCCTGTCCATAGTGTCTCTGTCCTAAGTACTCAGCTGTACCACAGCACAAAAGCAGTCGTAGATAATACACAAATCAATAAACAGGGATATGTCCCAATAAAACTTTATTTGTAGAAACAGGCAACAGGCCAGATTTGGCCTATAGGCTATCGTTTGCCCCATCCTGATATAGACAAAGGCCCAGCACAGATCGTGATTTGCAGCACAGGATAATAAGATCTAATCTTCTCACAGTATGCAGAAAGATTTTGCACAGGACGTGGAGCTAATTGTCCTGGGAGGGTTTTGGCAAAACCTCTCTCTTCTAGAGAGAGATCTTAGACTACCAAGATGTCTCTTGGAAAATAAGTGTTTTGAGAAAGCAGATAGATTTCATCTAGGTACTGAGCCAAGGCACTGCATCCATCCAAGCATCTATTCAACCAACATCTGAGTGCCTTATGTATGCAAGGCACCATCACGGGTGCTCGGAAAAATCTGGCCAGAAACACAACAGAACAGGTACTTGCTTTCATTTCATTCAAGGAATGAAATGAGGAAAATATAAAATTAGCACTTATTTCTGTTTAGTGTACCTGTCACTTCCACCTTAAAATAGGTGTTTTTACCCCATTTTACATTTAAGAAAATGGATGTTCAGAGAGGTTCTACAGCCTGCCCAAGGCTACACAGCTAAAATCTATTAGAGACAATCCAAATGTAAATCCATCTGACTCTCAAGCCCAGTTCCTTCCAACACCCTTTGGTCTCAAAAGATCTGAGCAGAGTTAGAATAGATTTGTTTCCTAACCTTTTTGGGATCACAAGCATAAAATATCTGGCACAGGACCCTCTTCCTAGAGAAATGCAGAAATCATTTCAGAGGACTCATGAGTCCCCCAAACCCCAATTTCACATGGATCCACATTGAAGGCCCCCTGACCTCAAGGGAAAGGACCCTGCCCAACATGGCGGATATTTTGGTGTGTCAAAGAGAGTCATGTTCCCTGACTGGGCTTAGAGTTCCACAAGGATAGGCTTTGAAGTGATGTTATGCTGAGCCTGGGGCAGAGAAGTAGGTTTCGCGGGGGGGGGGGGGGGGGGGCAGGGAAGACGGGAGTGAGGTAAGGGAATGACTGTCTTTAGCATTCAAAGTCTCCTCCCCTCACCCCAGCAGAGTCCCGGGAAGGAATGATTGGCGTGTGTGTGATTTTAATAAAAGAAAATACAGGCCTGTTAATTAGGTCTCAGGATGAAATTCATAATGGAGATGCGAGGCGGCACACAGTCCCCTTTGCACATACTGTATTGGAATAAATCATCTTTTGATCTTTCTAGATGCTGCCTCATTAGGAAAAGGGCATACCAAAAATCAATATTCAGTTACATTAAGTGATTATTTTTTATGCACAGGCATGTGCAAGGTCCCTCTTGCCTAATTAAATACAGGCAGTGGCCCCAGGTTTCATGTCCTGACATGCGATTATTTCTTAAAGAAGAATTAGTTGTGTTGCATATGCATGAGGAAGACGTCATCCCGGGACACTGCCTGGTATGTCAAGGAGACTAAACCTATTTCCTTTACTGTGCTGTCATGGGTCACAGACCAGCCTCACTGGGTTGGAAGATGACAATGAACAAAGGGAAATTAAAATAGGTGAATAAGGGGAAGTTACGATTTACCAAAAATCAGCTTTCTATACTAACGTCAGTAGGGGCTTCAAGTAAAACCAAATTCCTGAAGGTGGGGCTGGTTTCTTTTTGATGAACCACAGGGGGAAGAGCACAAAGATACTTCGGATTTCTAAAGTCTGCTGACACGCTCCAATTCTAGGATTCTAGGATCTAAGCCATGAATTCAGCAACTGTCTGCATTGCTTCACATAATAACCATGGCTCTGGCTGAGAATCAGAGGCTTGCGTGGGCAAAGTCCCGTGGTCACATATTCACATTTATATTTTCCTTACAACTTTTCAAAAAATTTTTTTTTCAACGTTTATTTATTTTTGGGACAGAGAGAGACAGAGCATGAACGGGGGAGGGGCAGAGAGAGAGGGAGACACAGAATCGGAAACAGGCTCCAGGCTCCGAGCCATCAGCCCAGAGCCCGACGCGGGGCTCGAGCTCACGGACCGCGAGATCGTGACCTGGCTGAAGTCGGACGCTTAACCGACTGCGCCACCCAGGCGCCCCACCTTACAACTTTTCAAAGTAGAGATTTCATTGTCAACAAGACGAAGAGACAGATTACCTGCCCAAGCTCACAGGTTGGTAAATGAAACAGTTGTGACTTAAGCTTGTACCATGTGTCTTCAAAACCCATAGCCTAGGTCTCCGCGAG